GGGCGAGCATGTTTGGCGTGACGGGGATTCGAGCCCGCGACCCTCGGATTGCGAGTCGAGGGCCCTAACCACCTGGCCATGCTGGGGCTCGTCTGTTTGGTATTGACTCAAAGATATACAAAAGATTAAGAGTATTAATATTAGCTGTTATTGTTGTTTTCACTGCGAGTAGTTTATTTAAGTAACCTAATATTTCATTAATGACTATTTAATAATCTTAATTTCATTACTAAAAGTATGTATAATAGATTTCATGACCTTTAACCTAACACAAAATGTCATTAACCTTACGTTGCTAAGAAGAATGATAGGAAAAGCTTCATTAGTATTAAGGTTTCAGTAACACTGCCTTGTTTTCCTTCCAGACGAACATATATTTTATTCCATGATTCATTTCTCTAACTCAATAATACTAAATATTTCTATATCGTTTTCCGTAAGTAAAGTTTTAAATACTCGATGCGTTCCGAGAGCTTAATCAAAATTAATTGCTATGGAAAATGCTGGAAAACCATGAAGTAGAATTATTCGCAAAAAGAAGTACAGAATTATATATTTTGAATTATGTATGAGGTCAACCACCTATTACTTGTGATAAATAGCTCAAGAAACTATTCAAAGTTAAGAGTTATAAAAATCTTCAAAAATACATGTATGAAAAATATCTAAGTTATAAAAAAACACAAACTTATTGGCCTGAACATATCAGATGACCACCTCGTGGTCCCGAGTCGTTTCACTTGTTATTTCATGAAAAGAAGGGACGATTATTGTGAAATCAGCTTCTATGTTGTGTATCAAGTCACATCACATCTGCGTTATTACTTGAGCGAAGTCCCCGCGGACTTCGACCTTATTATCTCATGGTTTAGTGGTCTAAATGAACGCTTTCCTTCATATTTTTAAACAGTTCCTTAATCTATAGTTTTGGATATATTATTTCCCCCCCTCTTCCCGAAAAAAAAACAACAACCAAAAACGTCTCGTCTGTTTGGTACTAACTCAAGTCATTCAACAGTTTGATTTGTTACACTGACTAGCATTTCAGTCTCGACACGCACGTGATAAAATTAACTCGGTATACATCTGATAAAAGCACGAAAGACTAAACTGTACATGTGATATATGCATAACAGACACTTTGTTCTCAAAGGCTCTTTGCGAATCTCCAGTTAATAACCTGCGCATTACCCTGATTACAGCACATTTGTAAAGACGAAAAAAGAAGAAAGACAAGGATACTTTCGTTCTGCTAGACGTAAACAATTCATTAGTATAATACTGTTGTGTCAGCGAGGTCACGTGACTAGTATCACGCCACCTGTTTCTAGAAATATCCTGT